TTCTTTATTTGCATGTGTTGTGAGTACAGTATTTGTATGCACGTGTTTAGTCAGAGATTGGTAAATTAAATAAGTGTTTTATCATTTGCCAAACCTAACAGTATTCAAGAACAGTAATTGAATGATAAATAAAAATAATTCTCTAAAATGAATCGCTGTTAAAGTAAAAAGTGGTACAATTTCTTATGCCTGAATGCTTTTAAAGTCATTATATAATTCCAGGCATTAAAACAAATGCAAAAAAAATGATAAAAAATACTAACTCAACATTGCATACATCCTACGATGTGTCTATTGCGAATGATCACATTGCAATGTCCATGCTGAAAAATATACTGTGCAGCCCTACCCTGACCTTTCCTAAATGTGTGTTGATTCTAGCATTGTTTTTATCTGCTGTACTGCTGTTTTTATAGCAAAAATAGAACTTTATTTCAGCCATGACTTTTTGAAATTTAAAAAAGAATGTTTTAAAAGCCCTAAAAAAAGTTTTACCATTCACCGGACAAAATAAGAAATTCCCATTTGGGGAAGGTCATGTAAATCAAACACATTTATATGGTCTATTAGATAAATGATTATATTTTTTAGGGTAATGACTTTTAAATATTAAATATGACTATCATTAAATATTAAATTTAATTCTAAAACCTCAATAGAAGCTAGTAGTCATAGGATTTAGCTCAAGTGTCAAGTGTTATTGTTACAGCAATGGCTCTTTACACATTATTTTAAACAAATATTTTAGGATTTGCTTTATGTTTTAAAGAGTAGAATAGAAGCTCTCAGAAAAGAGCATACAAACGGCACAACCTTTAAATTACCTTAAATAAAAATCAATCTGCTGGTTTTCAACCAAGCTCTTTTTTTTTCTTTTTATGTTGTATTACAAGATGTTAAGAAACTTGCAGTGAAAAGCTATTTATAAATAGAAGACTTTATTAGCTAATTAGTCTCTAAAGTATGAAAAAAACTAGCACAGATTATTGACCCATCTCTGAATGTGCACAATGCAGGAGCTCTGTGTTTACTAGAAGACATTACTGTGTTACATAAGCAGCTCTTTTTTCCCCTCTGCCCCTCTTTCAGGGTCTGTTTTCAGTAGACAAATGCACACAAGAGCACATGAAACACTCTTACAGGTACAAGAGTGGATGTTCGCTTCTGATAGTTTAAAGCCATTGACGCACTACGGCTTCTAGTAGTCAAAGACAGTCACACACAGTCTGTCACCGGTCCTGCTTCAATACAGTCAGCTGAAAGCACTAGAGATGCTATTTATGAGGAAACAGGATAGAAAATTATTATAAAATCTGTATGAATCACAGAGACATTCTGCTGTGTATTGATCAGATACACTGAGCGAACTGAGCTGTTTGAACAGAGAAATTTTCTTTCGTGAGCTGAGATACAGTACCGTACATTCATTACTTTTATTAAAAAATTTATTTTGTTGGTGAAATTATGTAGCTGATGTCACTCATAGCATCACGAGACGAACAAGGCTCTGTCAGTCAATGAAGCAAACATGAAGATTTCTGTCTTTATTTTATTAATAATAAAAAAAGATATCTAAGTATCCTGGAAATTTCTTGTCGATTATATTTAGACAATAAGCAAACTGTGACAGTTTTCTTCATTCGCTAATCTTTCCCTGGAACAGTTAGTGTTACCTAAATTAGTAATATTCGATTTTTATATGCGCAGTTTGGCTACAAATAATTCATTACACTGATAAAGTTGGCAAGCAAGTGTAAAACCAACTTTACTGTACAATTTTTTGACTCTTCAAAACATTTAAGCAGCACTGAACATATCTAGACAACAAAGTAAATACATAACATATAGTTAAAGGGGACCTATGATGAAAGTCATCTTTTGTAAGCTGTTTGGAGAGAACTGTGTGTAGGTATAGTGTGTCCACAGTCATACTGGAGTGATATTTTAATTTCCTGACATTACAATTGGATCTAAATCGCTTCCATTTTGAAGCCCTATACACAGTTTGACGTAGGAGTGTGGTTTCTTCGTCAACCTTATTAACATGTCTCCGTAGTAACGCGTATAATCCTATCAACAAGACAGGATGTACGCAAAGCAACTGAGATTAAAAGATCTGTTGAGCTCACTGTGATCATCAATCATCATCAAATGTGATCAAGAATGAATTTTACAAGTTTAAAACCTTTTTAATAGCATGTTTGTAATGAATTACAGTGATTTTACTGTCTTTATCACTACAGTTATAAAATCTGTGATAAAAGAAAATGCTGGTTTCTGGACGTTAAATCAGGTTTATTTTGTACATTAACATAACAGATATCCATAGAGCAGTGCATATTAACCACATTTGCCATGCAAAAACTGTGTGTTTGTGTGTGTGTGTGTGAGAGTGTGTTTGCTGTGTGTGTGAACTTTGTAACATAAACTGTAACGACAACGTAAACTTTGTAATGACATTGTGTTTGACTCATCATTGCAGAAAAGCTTGAATTAACTCCACAAGACATACATCAAATAATCATTGTCATAGTTCTTACTGAAGTATTTCTCACAAATTATACGTGAGATCTTAGGGAAGCTTCCTTCATGTCTGTCACTGTGCTGCTTATCTGGCGGAGACGGAGACACTCTTACAGGCACATGAGGATGGTGGAATTGGAGAACCAGCATTAAAGGCACAGGCCACTAAAACAGGTACATTGTGTACAGAGCAGAAAATTTCAACACTCTGAAAGGTCTAATAAATAACCAGATGGGTGTTTTGAGCTGAAACTTTACAGACACATTCAGGAGACACAAAAGGCTTCAATCTTGAAAAGGGGGTTAAATAAGCACCCTTTAAATATTAGTTAATATTATTTTTATATAATAATAATAATAATAATAATAATAATAATAATAATTATTATTATTATTATTATTATTATTATTATTATACATTTGTAGTGTGTTGGCATATGATGTAAGCATATTTTGAGCTTTCATATTTTTAATTATTGATCATTAATCCTCGTTATTTCTTACATAATCAGTTGCCTCAGAATGCCTTTATCTTTATTTATTGAAAGTTACAGAACAGCTATTACATACTACTGTACATATATATAAAAATTGTATCTGCTCTTAATTTTATTAGCCTTTCCCACACCCCATTTTTTCTACTTTTAATGAAGCCCTATGAAGCATGGTTTCAAATACAAATCTTCCTAAATCCTCCACCCCACAAAAACACAAAAAATCACCTGCTGTGCATTTTATGAAAGGTGAAAATAACCTAAGTAAATGTTCATATTTGTGTGAGCCATCTCTATGTAGCATTGCGTGTTTGAGAACCATGAATTGCCTGTTATGTCAGGGCTGTCTGACCTGGTGGGCTCCATCACCCGGAGTAAACACAGAGCTGAAGTTCTTCAGGTGGTCTCGGGCACGAGCGACTCCCCTCAAAGTCCCAAACATGCTCTCCAGGACAGAGTGAGCACACTCCATCGTCAGCTCCTCAGGACACGACACTCCTGCAGATATACACACAGATAAGACAGTCAGTCAGATACAAACACTACATTGGCAATAAATCCTCCACTGTGCTGCTTATTAAGGTCAAGAAACTTGGTGTTATTCTGGAGTCAGATCTGAGTTTCAGTAGATATGTCAAAGCAGTAAGTAAATCAGCATGCAATCATCTCAAAAACATTGCAAGAATTAGATGTTTTGTGCAGCGAGGAAACTTGTTCATGATTTTATCACCAGCAGGGTGGATTACTGTAATGGACTCCTCACTGGCCTTCCTAAAAAGACAGTCAGAAAGATGTAGATCATCCAGAACACTGCTGCCAGAATTCTGACCAGAACCAGAAAATCTGAGCACATCACATCAGTCCTCAGGTCTTTACACTGGTCCCCAGTTTCATTCAGAATAGATTTTAAAGTATTACTATTTGTTTATAAATCACTAAATGGCCTAGTACTTCAATACATGACATGCTTATTGAATACAAACCTAACAGATCACTCAGATCTTTACAATCAAGTAAACTAGAAATTCAGTTAAAGCAGGGTGAATACGACTTCAACTACTACGCCCACTGCTGGTGGAATCAGCTTCCAGAAATGATCAGATGTGCTCCAACATTAGGCAAATTAAAATTCAGACTTAAAACACATCTGTTAAGCTGTACTTTTACTGAATGAACACTGAGCTATGTCCAACAGATCGCACTATTATGTTTTTCTTACATTTTTAATTTTTTTATAACCAGTTTTAACACATTTTAATTTGTTTTTAATCATTTTTATTCTTAGTTTTTATTTTCTTATACTTGTCTTTTATTCATGTTTATGTAAAGCACTTTGCATTACCACTGTGTATGAAATGTTCTATATAAATAAACTTGACATTGTATTTATTATTCACATGCATAATAAATATAATGCTATCTAATTCCAATTAGTTACTTCTTGATTTAGTAGCTAATATGTATGAATTTGAATGATCTCATATACAGTTTAGTATGATTTGCTCATCCTCCAATGATGGTTGGGTTTAGGGGTGTGGTTTGGTGTCACACCTCCTATAAAAACCATACTCGTATGACTGAACTTTCCTTGTGAGATTGGGCTGATTTATGCTTTTTACTGATTATTAATAACTAAATAACTAAATTGTAAACAAGGATTATTTTAGCAACAGAGTCATCCGTTTGTAAAGCGTTTAAAAAAAGTTAATTTATAGTAACTAGGTTTCTTTTGCCTTGCACATGAGTGCATTTTTAAGATAATGTGGCAAGCTCATTCATTCATTTTCTTTCAACTTAGTCCATCAGCGATCACTACAGTGGAATATATCTAACTTCTCTGGCATGTGTTTTATGCACCAGGCTTCCAGCTGCAACCCAGCACCATGCTGGAAATCGCTCGCTCGCACGCACGCACGCACGCACGCGCACACGCACACGCACACGCACACGCACACGCACACACACACACACACACACACACACACACACACACACACACACACACACACACACAAACGGCAAATTTTGTTTACCCAGTTCACTTATACCCCAGGAATCCCATGCAAACACATGGAGAACATGCAAAATCCACACTGAAATGCCTACTGGTCTAGGCGGGCCTTAAACCAGCGACCTTCTTGCTGTGAGGCAACAGTGCTACCCACTGAGCCACCATGTCACCCATTCGCAATCTCCCACTCTCTTTCGCAATCTCCCACTCTCTCTCACTCTCTTAAATTCAGTTAACTTAACCCATGTCAAGTTAACTGAATTTAAACTTTTACACTCAGCACCACTCATCAATGTCAGTTCCAAAACAGTAAACCAATCAGAAGAATGTGAGGATGGGGCAAGTGTTGTAAGCTTCTGTTTAAAGTAGTAAGTTAGCAACAATTTGATGTTTACATAACGGTGGAGGTATGTTAAAAATAAAATTGAAACTGCTGCATTTCATGTTTGATGCAAAGAATCGTTCTTTGTGAATGGCCATTTCTTTGTTTCATATATCCATTTTTGTCTTTTTAGTTGAGCACCTTAAGTAGACGCTTTGTAATATCATTGCACCTTGTATCCAATAACAATAAAGCTTTCTATTCTATTCTATTCTATTCTATTCTATTCTATTCTATTCTATTCTATTCTATTCTATTCTATTTACAAATGAGTAAAATAGAACACAGTACACCGGAACTGCAAAAATATTTCACAATGTTATTTATTGTACTTATCACCAAATAAACAGCCTTAGTGCATCTTAGAGACTTCTGGTAACACTTTAATTACAGATTACCATTTTAAAGTACTGACTTACTATTACCTCCCTATTATGAATATATTGGGTGTTTATTAGTACTTACAAAAGAATGATCTTAATCTACACCCCTAATCTTACCCAATACCTAAATCCAACTACTACCTTACTAACAATTAATAAGCAGTAAATTAGAAGCTTATTGAGCTAAAAGTTTTAGTTACTGGTTTGCTGATAGCAAGACTTAAAATAAAGTGTGACCAGACTTCCTATAAACTTCACAATTTATATACATATATATAACGTATATAACATATATGTTGACCTAAAATATATTATAAATACATATACTGGGTTGCATATAATGTTGCAAGGGCAGTACATCAGATTGAGTTTCTATTGCTGAAAAGGGACTCAGAGGACAAAAGCTCTTTTCATTTGAAGGCAACAGCTCCTGGGTTAATCAAAATTTAATGTGCACTCGGTAAACTCAGACACTGGGGAAAAAGAGAGTGAGAGAGAGTGGGAGATTGCGAAAGAGAAAGAGCGAATGTCTCAGTTTCATTTAAGGGGAGAAAGCTTGAACAAAGGTGTTTGACAAAAACAAACTTTGTTGTCATTCCTGCAGCACCAATGGTGCTGAAAGCAAAGTGAGTCTGAGAGAAGGCAAATGTAGGACGAGACAGCAGTCGGGGTGGGTGAAGTTGGCACACAACGTCTACCACGCCAGATGTGAAATGAGAGAGACGCCCATCCTTCACCCAGATCTAAACACCTGAGGAATAAGACATTCAGCCCTGCCAGTTAAACCCCTCTGGACCTGCCAAACCCACAGATGCATGACTTGAGCGGAGCAGTACACTTATGTAAGACTCATATTAATGGGAGAAAAATGCAAGCAATGGATAGCTGTACTGGTTTTTGAAATCATAAATTCCAAAATCTCAATCCGACAGCCCAAATGCAACACATCATTTGGACTTTATGGACACAGTGTGATTTATATGTGGTTTTAAAATGTATTACTGTATGGAACTATGGAGTTTATGTATCTCAGATGTGCGTTTACCTCCCAGCAAAGAAAAAATCATAAAACTTTCAACGCTATGTACAAAAGAAGCCTCATATATTTGTTGATCATGAGAACAACTTTAACAGCTGTACAAAGGTAGACTAACTTTATGCATTCCATGACATGTCAGCCAAAAAGATCATCGGTGCCCCTCTTTCCTCCATTCAGAACATTTTCCTCTCATAGTGACACAGCAAAGCCATCTGTATTGTGAAAGACTCGACTCATCCCTTCCACAGTCTCATCCAGCTGCTGCCATCAGGAAGAAGGTTTTGAAGTATTAGAGCCTGCTTTGCTAGACTAATAAACAGCTTCTTCCCACAGGCTGTTATGGCCCGTTGAGTGGTACTGTATGGTATTACAAGCCTTTATCAGGCTTGCATTTCCACAGCCAAAAGGGTACCGATATTTGAGACCAATGATTGGTGGAAGTGGTGTATGACAGTAAGTTTCAGTGTACATCATTCTCACTTAAAGAAATGCCAAAGTAAAGCTATATGGGTCGTTTATATATCATATGAAAAGCACAAAACAGATGCTTTAATACAAATGTATAAGTGTTCATTACTAACATTTTTATGAACAGGATTTGATTATAAATGCAGATCAATGATGTGCAAAATAGCCTACTGTAACGTCTGCAATTATATAAAATAAATAAATGCAACATATATGAACACATACAGACCCATACAGTGTCCAAAATGTTACCAATTACATATACACTGCACACAGCACACATTTAGTCAAAAACAACATGCAACATAAAGCCCACAGTCAGAGCAAACCTCTCATCTGTATCTTTAATCTGCACCAGCATATGTAATCCGTTAGAAAGTAATTCTGTCATTCCGAGTTCATAATAGTCCAAAAGGTGATGATAATAGTTAAACATGGCATTTGTTCATGTTTTAGGTTGCTGAAAGAATAATTTGCTCTGTTGTTTTGTTGGACTTCACTCTCGGGCTTGTCTGTTTCTGACAAGATCGGGTGTCAGAAGCACTTCAATAATCAGGCACACGTCAGGCACACGTTATTATCATCAGGTTTGCTATTTCAAGTTTGCTATTTCAAATATAGGCGCGCAGCGAGCGAAAGCGAGAAAGTAAAGCCACTCGTGCTTTAGACGGCCTTGTAAACATCTACAGGCCACAGGGTAGTTCTGCTTTTCTTCTTGGCTTTGTGGCTGTTCAGCAAGACAACGACAATTTTTATTTATTTTTTTGCTTTTTATGCAAAAAATTAGAATATACAATCACAGTACATTATAAAGAAAATTAGAAGACAAAAAGAACACATTTTTTAACAAACAAAAACACAACAACAAAAAACAAAACCAACTTCTTAATAAGGAGATAAAGAAAATATATTTTCTTTTTACGAATAGCTTCTGATTTATAATTAACAAAAAACTAACAAACAAAAAAACAAAACAAAACATGTTGCCCAAAGTAAGGAAAAGTCTTCATCAACATTCTCAATTACAAAAAGAGTAATTTCCTTTTTTTTCAAAGGAAATTAAAATAAACTGCATTTCCAAAGCATTTGACATGGTAGAGCACATTTTTTTTTTTTTCCGTTGTATTAAAAAAATTGGTTTTGGTGATTTTTTTATAATGCCATCAGGACACTTTATAAATTTTTTTTTTTGGTACTTCAAGTCATTTTAGCCTT